GTTGTCATTTCTGTTGCTTGAGTGATTCTTTCACTCCTTTGTAATGATTACTTTTAAGACAGTGACCCCAGAAAAATGGCCACAATAAGATACTAAGCTTCTTAGCCCAAACATTAGCTATTAGATTTCCTCCTGCATTCAAAAGCTAACAAAAAAAGCATGGCAAAACTGCTTGTCGCCAAAAAATCCACAACAAAGCAGTTTTAGTTCTTCAGAAGTTCTTCCAACTTTGAAGAAACATCATCAGAAGGGGGGTTTCCCCCTCAGTCTAGAGGCTATAGTGCTTCCATTACTAGCTTCCATCACTGTTAGCCTTATTAGCCTCTTAGCTCAAAACTAACAGGGCAAATTCCAGACTCTGTGTCTTGCCTGACCACAGGGTTAGAGGGACAGCTATTTGGATTAGATTTTAGTCGAACTATCGCTTTAACAACAAAAGGTCACAGATCAGAGTGTCCATTGCGCATGGAATACATGGAACCACGTGACACAACATGTGAGTTAGTGAGTAAAGTCTGAGTGTTATCACGTTCACAGAGGCAGCTGTACAGCCCCATTACCTTTCAGAACCCATTACTCAATGTTGGGGTCACATTCCATCTTAGAAGTGACCGTCCTGTAAGACGCTGTGCTGAACAGGATCATCTGTAATACCAAGAAAAGCCCCTCCCCCATAATGCCCAGCTCACAATGTATGTGATGTGCAATGCAGGCACATTTGAATTGAGGTCAGTTGTTTACCCGTAACATTAAGGCCCCTAATAATCACAGTTTTACTCATAAAATGGATGCTGAAAATGTTTTTTTATACAAATGAAGACAATATTTTTTCCATTTAAATTTTATTTGTACTCGGTTGATTGCAGCTGTTCACATTACACATCCTCTTAATATGTTTCAAAAAAATATTATTTCATTTGGTAATTTTCTTTTTTTTATGTATTTTAATTTTGTTTTTATCATTTTTAATTTTTTTTTTCCAATTCATTCTGACCATTTGATCTTTGTTTGCCTTTGTTGTTAATTGTATTATTTCTTTAATTATTTTCCAACTTTTTATTATAATTTTATTATTATTTTTTCATTATTTTTTCAATGCTTTTATTTTTTTACATTTTCGGTTCTTCTTTTATGCTGCTTTTTATTTGCCTTTCTCTTTGCAAAACACTTTTAATGTATGAAAAATGCGATATAAATGGTTGTTGTTATTATTATTATTATTATTAAAAGATTGAAAGGGGTTCTATTTTCATGTATTTTTCTGAAAATTTTATTGGATTTTTTTTGTCATTTATTTATTCATTTATACACTATTAAAAATATAAAATTAAATAAAAAACAAAAACAAATATTTGTAGTTTCCTCTGGTTGTAGCATTGTTAGCGTTACCTGATTTGTGCTGATAGGCCTCACACAAAGACGGTTATACTACGTATTAAGACTAGTCTTAGTTTCAAGCGGTTATATGGAAATGTGATTGCTGGATGCTTCTGTGTAAGATGAGCCTCGACTCGTTTTTGGGGAATGTAAGCAAATCTGAGCACTTCAGCCAGGTATACCGTGTAAATCAAGTCACTGCAGCTCTGGTCCAGTCTAAATATTAGGAAAAAGACTTGTGTGTTGTGGACGTTAGTGTAGGGAGGCCTGAGCTGTTTGCCAGTCATCCCAAACAGGTCATCAGGTCCACTACGAGAGCACCAGCTTCAATCACAAGTCAGATACATTCAGCAACATGTGACATTTGTTCGTATCCTAAAATATCTTTTCCCAAGCTAAGTGTTTGGCTCCCAGGGCTGACTCCTATGAGGGGATTTCCTAGACATCTATGTTGTGGTTTCCCGAAACTAGAGCTCATTTATGAGCGGAAGTTGTGTTGAATACTGGTAACTTGCTAAAGCACTTTACATTGAATGGTTAAAGTAAACAGTGAAAAAAATGATTTCTACATTTTTTCTAAAAGTTATTTCTATACTGTGTTCAACCGCAGCCATTGTTGAGCTCTCCACCACTGCACAGTGACCACATCCCGTACCGGGCCCTTTTACTGTGGTCATTGAAAGATAGCTATGAGGAGTATTAAACAAAAAGCACATTAATTTGGTCTTTGTCTGTTGTTTTTATCCTCTAATTTACTCCTATTTGAAGACAAGATCTGCTTCAGTAAAAGGGCCTGGTAAGGGATGTGGTCATTGTGCAGTGGTGGAGAGCTCAACAATGGCTGCCTCAGAGCACAGTATAGAAAGAACATATTGCTAAGATAATGCTAATTTCTGCTAGCCTGGTAATGGAGATTTCAGGGTTATGTTAGCATCAGGCTAACAGTGGGTAATCTTTGCATTTTGTGGCAGCGCTCTGGATTAAGCTCATAAACATTCAAGAAACCAGGTCCAGGATGTTGACTCCTTTAGTAAAGGTTTAAAGTCCAAGCCTGTCTCTGAATATTATTGCTTAGCATATTATGGTTTCATAATGGTAGACCAAGTTGGTCGAGCTGGCCATGCTGGTAGACTAACTTGGTCACACTGGTCATACTGGTAGACCGTGGTCACACTCACTCTGGTAGACCAGTTTGGCCACGCTGGTCATGCTGGTTGATCAGCTTAGTCACACTGGTCATGCTGGTAGACCAGCTTGGTCACCCCGTCATGCTGCTCGACAGGCTTGGTCTAGCCAACTTGCTACCGGCATATATATTGTGTTTTGGATGCTGGTTTACTGGTCAGCAGCAATTGAAGTCGATGTGCTGATCACCAGCAAAACCAGCATATCGCTGCTATTGGAACAAAAGCTTGTATCTCCATTGTGGTGAATGGACAAACAGGAATGGCCCAAAATGACTTGGAAAAATGTCTGGTTCTATTGACTTACATTAAAAGTAAAGTAGGTTTTTTCCTTCTCCTGTAAAGTTACCATTTTGGAGATACAAGGTTTTGCTCTGACAGCAGTGATACGCTGTGTTTTGGATGCTGGTAAACCAGCACAAGGGAAGCACTAGACCAGCATAAACCAGCTTAGGCCAGTTTAGACCAGCAGAGAATGCAGGGCAGTCATGCTGGTCAACCAGTTTGGTCAAGATGGTCATATTGGTAGACCAGGTTGTTCACACTGGCAATGCTGGTAGACTAACTTGGTTAAGGTGGTCATGCAGGTAGACTGGCTTGGTCTACTCAGTTATGCTGGTCATGCTGGCAGACCAGCTTGTTCTAGATGGTCATGCATGCCGGCCATAGTGCTGATTAATGACCAGCAAAGTGTATGTTTATAGTCTACTAGCATGACCAGCTAAACTATAGAACTTGAACGAAAACATACGCTTTGCTGGTCAACCAGCTAAACTGATCTACCAGCGTAACCAGCATAACCAGCATGACCAGCATGGCCAAGCTGTTTTCTCAACAGGGATGTGTCTTTTTCTCGAAGCATTTTTGTCGTCATTGCCGCAGGGTGGCTGGAGGATCTTGTGTCTGTGAACACTCACACAGACACAAACATAAACACACAGACACAGACAGACGCACACACACACACACACACACACACCTGTTGCTGCTCCTCTAGCACCAATTTCATCATTCCCCCAGGCTGGCCGACCGAAATGTTTCAGTTTACGTTCTGGGCTGTCACATCTGCAGAGCGGCTCAGCCACATGATTCTGGGGGTGTAATGTTCTCTCTTGTTTGTTTCCCAAAATAACATGGGATCACCTATAGTGCCCGGTTCCTGGACCCTCCAGCATCTTCCACTCGCTAGAACATCCTTTAGCAAGGGAAATATAAACTGGCTTCATACCATGTCATTTAAAAAACATGGACACAGTCACGTCTTAAAGGGAAATTTCACTTCACCTTTTTAGCCGTCAACTATGCAGCTATGTGCTTCAGTACAAATATGATAATGGATAAAACAAAGTATACTTTCAGTATGTCTTAACAACACAAATGATTTTGAAGAGATTTTCTACTAACAGTATAACTACCATACATCAGTTCCTCAATTAGCCTTCATCCCTCTCAGCTTGTTTCAGTCCTTAGCCTTGCCTATGTTTAGAACCTTTTCACTTGTATTTGCTTATTGTAAACAACAACTGATGCCTCAAGTGATTTCCAATGGATATGGCCAGTAAGTAGAAGTTACTCATTTTTCATGGGGATAGATAAACAATAATTCACTTGCAAAATACATTAAAAAAAGCAGGACTTTCCAAAACTACAGTTCAAAAAGCTACTAAAGACAAGAATGAAAGATCTGATAGACCAGCAAAACTGTCGCCATCAGATAAACAACTCTTAAAACTTTCATCTTTGAGAGAAAATCAAGCTCCACTCTTGCTTCAGATCTGACAATATCTACAGGTGTTTCTGTCCATCCTTCTCTTGTGAGAAGACAACTGAATGGTAACGCTGAATGATGGCACACGCACAGTGGAAAAAAAGCACATGAATTCCGATCTGAGTGTCACATTAAGGTCGCATGGCCAAGAATCGGATACGTATCTGATCTAGGACTGCATATGAAAGTGGGTCAGGTCAGATTAGACAAGATCAGATTTGCGTGTCCACACAGCCCTGAAAACATCAGATCTGAGTCACTTTAGGGCAAAAAATCAGATTCATGCCACTTCAACCTGGTAATGTGAACACAGCCAAAGTGGCTCAGGTCAGATTTGAAAGGATCCGATTTGTGTGTCCACACAGCCCTGAAAACATCAGGTCTGAGTCACTTTAGAGCCAATATATGGATTTGTGCCACTTTGGCTCTGTTCACATTACCAGGTTATTACTGGTTTGCTCACATTAATGACAGATTTGAATCACTTACCTAAACGAGTGTGAACCATCGTGTCAGAGAGATCGGATTTGAGCAAAAAAATCAGATTTGAGCAATGAGGCTTGTAATGTGAACGTAGCCTTCAACATGGTTATGTGAACTTTGGAGGCCACAAATTCTTATAGCTACTTTAGTGTATGTTGACGAGTAACACAACAACAACACTGAACTGCGGTGGAAATAATGTTTAATTTGCATATCAAACAAAAATGTATTTAGTTCATGTTGATACACAATATATTCATAAGGGCAAGTCAGGATTTCTATTGACAAATTCTTTGTGTAAGGTTCACATGCAACAATAGAACAAGCCTGTGCTGGTTCATGACCTCAGTGATTTACTGTTTCATGTCTGGACATGTTGATGCTCCAGTGCACGATGAGACTGCAGCAACACAGCCAAGATATGCAAGCCTGCGAGCCCTCCCGGCTTAACAGGTCATCACACCTTCCTCAGAATGGTTGAGCCGTGGAAAATGTGGTAACTCTTAGCTTGCTGGAGTCATACCAGCATAGTAGCTGCTTCGACAGAAATGCTGAGGTCCAAGCAGAAAGAAAAACTCCCAAGTGTTTCTAAAATAAATCACAAATCAGTTTATTTCAAACCTGGTACTTCAAATAGTCAAACACTAGTACATATAAAATGTTGCAAAAGTGACTTTACACATTGTGCATTCAAATTATATATAAAAGGAGCAGCTAAGTACGCTGTTACAGTTACAGTGTGCGGACAATTCAAGTGAATACTTCAAGTGAATGGTCAGTAGTCCTTTCAGTGAAGCTTCAGAACTAAATTAAAAATAAAATCGATCATGATCTCCTGATTCACAAGGCAGGAACTTTAGTATATAATAGCTTTTAGCATATATCAGCTTCCCAACTAGCATTCATTTATTGCTATTTTTTTGAGCAACAATGCAAATATCATTCAAACATTTTTTTTCCAAAAGGACAAAGGAATCAATCAGGAGAAGAAACCAGTAGAGTAGGAAGTTGTGGGAATGTGTTTGGACAAAGGTGCATGGAGGAATTCTTCAGTGCTAAGTGCTACTTCTAGGATAAAGGAGTGAAATTCGATTAGAATTTAATCTAATGTGCACTCAAAGGATGTAGATTCTATTTGAAAGGGCTTCCACTCAAGACAAACAGAACCAGAGTGAACCTCAGCAATGAAGTTTTGCTGAATTCCTCTGTAAGTGTGAACTTTGTTTTAGCAAGAACAAATATTGCTGAGTTATTAAGTGCATAGGAGGTCCAGCTCCACTCCCAGATCATGTAGCACATGATTGAGTTCCACATCTGAGTAGAACAGCTGCACACTTCGCTACTCATTAACTTCAACCTATACTCACCAAAGCATTGTAGGCCTATCAAATGTATTTTTATGTTGTGGTTGTTCGAAATGTGTTGTTTCCAGTCACTTTTCTATGTCAGGGTTGTCAACAACCTGTCCCATGAAGCAGGATTTCTTGCCTTGCTAAGTTCCATCTAACCCTGATGGATCCCTTTTTACTGCAAAACATATGATGTGCACTCCACCTGCTCCAGGGCATGTCAAGTTTGGAATTTTGGATTGTAAACAGATCTTGGATCAATCAGGACAAGCTACTGACCAATCAGAAACACGCTTCTGACAGCCCTCTGGTCACTTTGAGACATTTGTGGCATCAATCAAGTGAAAAAAATACATAGATATGACTAAAACAAAACAGTTACTCCAATATTTTTGTCAAAAACATCACGATTTCATGTGCAAGTGCACAAAGATTAAACACAGCTTGAGTATCTAAACCTTGGTTGACAGAAAACGTTGTTAACCAAAGTTGTAAAACCAGATAACCGTGGTTGCTTTTGTTATGTTTAGTCAAGCTGAAACTCTGCTTCGTATAATAGGCCCCTGGTGTTCATTTGCAAGCTAAGGCAATGTATTCATGTGAGAAAAGTCTTGTCGGAAACAAACACCATAGGAACTGCACCATGGTCAAATAGTTTAAATGGAAGAGTGCCCTTCGATGTCCACGTATCTGTCTCTGGGTCATAGCAGTCGAAGCTGTCTGAGTCCTCGATAACGTCATGGCCATTGAGGTAGCGGCCCCCAGTGACATAGAGCTTGTTGTTGATGACAGTGGCTGAGTGATGCATCCTCCTTTCTTTCATATTCTCGCATTTCACAAATTTGTTCGCCTTGATGTCATAGGCCACCATTCTTCTTGTGTAACCTACGGAAGAAACAATTTCTAGACTGTGAAAGCAGAAGAAAAATCATGGGTTTAATTACTGATTTGACATTCTTTTCTCTCAGTTAATTCAATTGCCCGACTCACCTCCAATGATGTAGATTTTGCCGTCAATAATTGAAGCAGGGGCGCACACATTCTTCACCGTCCTGTTCTCCATTTTGCACCAGAGATTCCTTCCAATGTGGTATACCTACGGGGAAGTCATCAGGTCACTGAATCAAATTTCTAAAACTCTGTTTAGTTGAGCATTGATGTGTAGAATCTTAGGTCACCTTACCTGTATCAGTCTTACTGGGTTTTGCATGGCATCTTCCCCTCCAAACACATAGATTCTCTGGTCATGAGCTGCCACAGCAGGGTGCTGGACTGCAGTGGGCATTGGAGCCATGAGCTCCCACTGGTTGAACATGGTGTTGTACCTCTCCACCCCATCGGAAATTTGTCCATCACCTGTAACCCCACCAAGAACGAAGATGAAATGCAGATAGGAGATACTCTGATGGGCAAATCGGGGAGATAGCATGGACTCGGCCATTCTCCACTGGTTTGTTTTGAGGGACAGTGTGTATACTATGGCACTAGGTACGCTGCCTCCTCCAGCCCTCATGACCAGGCCTCCCAGAACATATAGAATGCTGTGCATACAAACGTAGGAGGCACGGTAGAGTCGTACAGGGAGCTTAGCTAGCCATTGCCAGCGTTGCGACTGTTCATCAAAAAGCAGTGCCTCTCGAGATGTGCGTTCGTTGTTCTTCCGACCACCCACGACCACAAGAGCTTCTTTACAGGTGTGGCGCCGTGGAGTTGCCCAGAGAGGCTGCAGATCACCCGGGCAATGGGAGCCAACAGAAAAGAGAAGACGTCGAACTGATTCAATGATCTCTGTACACAGGGAGGAGGACTGCACCAGTGGGTCGTTTGCGATGAACTGGAAGAGGTAGGATGGATGGATGTGTCGTAGCCTCACTCGTCGGAAGAGATCATGGATGGCACCATGGCGGACGAATGGATCATGATGGATCCAGGCTAGGAGGATCTCGAACACCTGCTCCTCTTCAGCACACAACTGGTCATCCTCCAGGTATCCCACCAGCTCATGCAGGGAGAGCTCACAGAAGTCTTCGGAAGACACAACGTCAGAGAAGCTTCTCACCGCCAACTCTCGAGCTTTCTCCTGCAAGCTGGCACAGTGCAGGATCTCTGAGAGACGGATCATGCTCAGGCAGTTGCCGGGACTGAGCTGGGCCTGAAGAAAGGTTGAGCAGGCCTCAAAAAGCCTTCCATACTGTAGCATAGCAGCAGCTTGCATCAGAGGAAGAACCAGCTCCATGGTGATGCTGATGTTCCCCGTGTAAACATAGTCCACAACGCTACTCAAAACGTCATGGGAAACTCCCTGCATGACCACCCGGGCCTGCTGGCTTTCCCGAAAGTTGCTGCAGAACATAGCAAAAAAGTAAGGACTGCTGGATGCCAGAACGTTCCGGTGGCAGGGGATCTCCTTGCCGTCTGAGCAAAGGACAACATCTGTGAGGATCTGCTTCTTTCTCAAGTTGTTCAACTGTAAGGGCAGGGTTTCCACCAGCTCTTTGTCTTTATAGTGCAGGACCTCTGTAAAAGGTCCATCTATGCTGTCAGTAAGAGGAGACAACAGGTTTAAGACACATTGCATGTCAGTAATTTGACTTTTTTTGGTCTTTGTTCAGACAACAAGATTATTGGGCCTCATTCCTCAATATCTTCCTAGGATTTTGATTAAATTTGTTCTTGAGAAAGGTCCTAAGAAAAAGTCTACTTCAGATTCATGACATGTTCTTAAACTCCGGAATTGTTCACAACTTGCTCTTGAGTGTGTGTAGATTCTATTCCTACCTAAGACCAAATCCCAAATAAGAAAAAAATTGGAGATTGCCAGAATCTTTGTAAAAACTGCATAAGTGGATTTTAAGAAGAAATGTCTTTTTTAGAAATGCCTTTTTGGCGAATAAGGCCCTTTGTCTTCAAACCATGTTTTTACGATCAGTGGAGACTACAGTTCATGTCTCTCAGCAAAAGCTGTACTGGTTTTAAGCCACATATCAGGTGTTCTCATTTAGGTCTAGAGTCCACACCCACAGTTTGACCTAATATTATGATTAGTGGTATTAGTATAGTTATTAAAATCCCATTTTAAACATAGAAACTAACAACATCAAGACGTATTAGGTCTTCGTCACTTTTGCTTCCAGACACAACATTAGGTTATTAGGATGTGTGAGATCTAAAATCCCACCATATTGAACTATATATAAACATAAAATTCATGTGGAAACACTTGGAATATCTAATTGTTCAATTAAATGGACGGATTACAGATATAATAAATACTAGCGCTGGGTACTAAAATTGAATATCTTTATGGTAGAAACTAATAGGGGTATTGGTATTAATATTAAACATATTTTAGCATTTACCCAGAGCCAATAGTTACATGTGAAAATTTCATTAAATACGTCAACAAATTATGCTTTTTTGTGAGACCTGAGACAGATGCGAGTGATCATCGTGTTCCCAATTCATCTGCCATGTGTCAACCAGCATGAGCGGTCACTCTTACTCGATGTTAGTGTTGAGGAGCCAATCATATCACAGCGCATTTTAATTAGTGGGTACCAGATGGAAAGAACCGAAAACCTGAAATGTCTTTTTGTTCTGTGGTCTTACTTTTTATTCTACAACAAGTGGCAGGCAAAATGTAGCATTGATTCGGTCATCCTGTTGGCTTCATGTACCGCTCATGTACTAGTATTTGTCCCCCCATAACTGTCAACGCAGACCCTGAGGACTGCACATACAACACGATCGAAGAAGTTCCAGTTGCCATGCAGTTAGCTCTATGCTATGGTTGTCTACCCAGTCCCTTAGAGACCCAAATTCTCAGCTGCAGCTTGTCTTACCTGGTCTCAGCCAACTTGTAGCACATCCTATATGTTTTTTTGTGTCTGCTTCTGTATCGGCAAAGCTCATGCAGACACAAAACTGTGAATCATCTCTCTCTCTCTCACGTTTTCTGAGTTCTCTTTGTATCTTTGAAGCAATCTGAAAGAGTAGAAGGTGGCTGTTTATAGGGGATCGTGCTGGGGTGTTTGTTGTCAAGCTCTCTCTCCATGAGGCCTCTGTGTACATTCCAGTCTCCCTAAAAATAGAAAGCCCTTGTCTCCGTCAGAGCCGCAGCTACTCCCTCCCTAACGCCGACATGTGACGCCCCTACTTTTTTTCCATCACACGAGCTTCTGGACTGTCTGCATAGCGCATCTGAGTTGCCCCTATGATCCGCCACTGCATGTATATGTTTACAAAGGTTGTAAACATTACTGGTACCCAACAGACATTCCAGGAGCTGGCCACATGCTCGGAAAGACCCCCCCCCCCCTTTCCATTTCCATGCAAAGCCCTTTAGCAGCTAGCCCCGTGTTGCTACAGCAGCCAGTGCCAAACACTGAGGTGATGAGGCCTATCAAGGAGGAGGTGGGATTGCTGACATTTCCGAAGCCGTATCCATCGTTGCTTGAATAAGATGGCAATAAGAAATAGGACATTGTCTGTTTTCACTCAGAAGCCCTAGTCTTGCCACTTTGATCTCTGCTATTTGGTTGGGGGGGCATTTTGGAGATATAAGGTTTTGATCTGACAGCAATGATAGATATATACATACATGATCATGATCATATACATACATATGGGTCAGTGACAAATAAGTGACAATTTTTAAAAATTCCATTAAAAAGAAAAAGGACATGACATGCATTTTTATATCTGCATATATATATATATATATATATATATATATATATATATATATATATATATATATATATATATGCATTTAAATCTTAAATCAAAGTTTTTAATTGCCTTTTTCAATTATTGAAAGTGTACTGGCCTGGCTGCACTGTTTGACCTATCTGGTTGTGCCACCTGACTTTTCAGACTAATTTCAAACTAAACAGGTATCTGCTTAGACACCAGTAGAAACCTTTGTCCTTGAAGTCAAATTTATACTTTTTTTTACGAAAAATCAAACTTAAAAACTTTTTTTCAAACTTAAAATCATGCCTTATTTATGTATTCATTTACCTCTTTTTGATAGTTCACTTAATCAACATACATGGTTGAAAGGTTGCGCCACCTGACATTTGTAGACCTTTGGAGGCAAAAAGAAACTAAAATGAATTTAAGATAGATGCAATGAAAATTGTTTCACATAAAAGTTGTATTGTTGAATAATTGCATCTATTTTATGTATTTATGACATTATTTTTGGGAAAAATAATGAAGCATATCATGTCAAAGACTCATACATGTATGTATATATATAGTGATGAACAAAATAGAAAACTTTACAATTTCTTCCAGTGAAAAATTGTTCATATCCAATTGCTTACAAATAATAGAAGGCACTTCTAGGAACTGCTGTTCCATCCTGTACTGCACACTGAACATTGAGCAACGGTGATGGGTGTTCCATGTGCCCACAGCCATGTCACATACAGGCAGTGACTGCTTAACATCTGCTGTGGTGTTTTGACACTGTGGTTGATGGAGTTCATGGCAAAAAGAAATGGCTGACTGTTTGTCTTCTTGACATTGTCTTCAATAGTGGAGGATCATGGCCTGCAAAGCGATGAGCTCTACTGAAATCTGTTGCAGGACGAGTGTTAGCGGCCGGTAGGTAAGACTGTAATGTTACTGCAGGGTAGGTAAAGGAACACAAAAGATTCATACATATAGAAATAAACACACAGATGCTCTTATTAACTGGGGTTCAAAATGTGGTTTGTCAACAGATCAGCTTTGTTTTAGTGCATTGTTACAATACACACCCATATCATATACGCAGAAATACATTACAAACTCCTCGCAGTTCCATGGAAAATAGCTCACAAAGTTTTCCCCTTATATTCACTCAGATATCACTTTTGGTGTCTATAATTTGCTTCTTCCATTTCAGCACTGGAGCTATGATGCTAATGTAGCAACAAGTAATGGATGCTCATACCTCACCAGTTAGCACTATGTAAACTGCATACCAAATTCAGTGTTGAGTTGTTGGGTAATCTCAAATAGACTTGTTTATGTGGTTTCTCATATTGTATGGCATACTGTTATCCACAACCCCATTTCCAAAAAAGTTAGGATGCTGTACAGAATGTAAATAAAAATAGAATGCAATGATGTGCAAATCAAGCAAAGCATATTTTTAAAGGAAAATACTACAAAGACAACATATCAAATGTTGAAACTGAAAAATTTTATTGTTTTTTGAAAAATATATGCACATTTGAATTTGATGTCAACAACACGTTCCAAAAAAGTTGGGACGGAGGCCTGTTTACCACTGTGTTTCATCACCTCTTCTTTTAACAACACTCTGTAAGAGTTTGGGAACTGAGGAGTCCAGTTGCTGTGATATTGAAAGTGAAATGTTTTCTCATTCTTGTTTGATATAGGATTTCAGCTGCTCAACAGTTCGGGGTCTCGTTTGCAGTATTTTTCATTTCATAATGTGCAAAATGTTTTCAGTGGTGACAGGTCTGGACTGCAGGCAGGCCAGTTTAGCGCCCGGACTGTTTTAACGCAGAGCAATGCTGTTGTAAAACATGCAGAATGTGGTTTGACATTGTCTTGCTGAAATAATCAAGGCCTTCTCTGAAAAAGATGCATCTGGATGGCAGCACATGTTGCCAAAACATGTATCTATTTTTCAGCATTAATGGTGCCTTCATAGTGCTCATGTGCTCAGTGGCTCAGTGGTCTTTAGCCCAGAGGACACAGTGTCCATGATTTCCAAAAACAATTTCAAATGTTGATTCGTCGGACCACAGGACACTTTTCCACTTCCTCTCAGTCCATTTTAAATGAGCTCGGGCCCAGAGAAGGCGGCGGGGTTTCTGGATACTGAGTATATTTGGTTTCTTCTTTGCCTTTTAGAGTTTTAACTTGCATTTGTGGATGCAGCGCCGAACTATTTTCACAGACAGTGGTTTTCAAAAGTGTTTCTGATCCAATGCAGTGATTTCCTCTACAGAATCATGTCTGTTTTTAATGCAGTGCTGTCTGAGGGCACAAAAATCATTGTGAGCAAATACTGGTTTTTGGCCTTGTCCCTACACAACTTTACCAGCCTTTTGTTGCCCCGTCCCAACTTTTTTGGAACGTGTTGTTGGCATCAAATTCAAAATGGGCATATATTTTTCAAAAAACAATAAAATTTCTCTGTTTCAACATTTGATATGTTGTCTTTGTACTATTTTCAAATAAATATAGGGTTTAAATGATTTCCATATCATAGCATTTTGTTTATATTCACATTTTGCACAGCGTCCCAGCTTTTTTTGGAAATGGGGTGGTATAAAAATGGACCAAAATATGCCACATAGCTAAAAAAAAAAGTAGCAGCCATCTTGAAATTGACATTACTTAACAACTCAATGTGATTTGAGGTAAGAGTGTGATGATTTAGGAAGTTTAAATTCGAATTGGCAATTGTAATTGGTCAAGTTTACATATAATAAGTATATAATAAGTATATAAAAAGTATACTTATTAGCAATTACTTGTTGTCCAGTGCTAAACTCAACAAGCAAACGTCAGACACCAAACATGGGTGTTGGATGATCGACCACAGTCTGGTGCCAGAGAAACTGTGTTAATTAGATTATTTTCCCGAACTTTATCTTTAATACAGTATCCATCCTTTCTGTTTACATTATAGAAATGCCAAAGTCCAAAACAGCCATACATTGGATACGAATACCTATCGTTGTCATAGGTCAGTAGTCTGTAGTCATTTTCAAAGGAGACACTGCAGGAGTTTCTATCCATTGTGCAAGATTTGAGGAAGAAACAGGTCAGCAGCTCCATCTAGTGCTTACTGAAGCTCGACTAAGCCACAAAGTTATGTAACAGTGGCACTGTGCCAGAACTCCTAAGAAACACAGGGTTCCTTGACGTAAAAGGAGCACTAAAGAAAACATTTAAACATGTAAAATCTGACTGTGGTAAAACTTTATTTGAAGGCTGCCTACATAGGGAAGTCATGAGACCTGCATAAGCATTGAATCACTCATTTAAAAAGCAGTGCTTAAGTATATATAAACAGCTTATATCAGTATTCGCAAATATGACAAGATATTTTGTGAAGGAAATGACATTGTACTGATATAAGGTGCCTTTAAACTAAAGTGACAGACATTCGTTCTAGTTGTAACACAGTTAGTTCTATGTAGGCCTTGGCAATAGGGCGATGTCATTGGATCGCTAATTGACAAGTAACCTAATGACGATGACAATAAACTAGATACTACTAATTTACTGGTAAACAGCCTGCTAAATACATAGGGCAATTGGGGTTCATGTTTCTTTAACCCCTTAAATGCCCAGAGCCTCTGGCAGGCCCAAAGTTTTATTATACACTTCTATAACCAAAGAATAGCTCAACCAGTTTGCACTGAAGTCACTGTGGTAACTGAATAATAAGCCTTAGTATGTAATAAGCCTGGGATTTTAAGGAGTTCCGAAATGTGCAGGAATGCAACCCAGTAGTCTGTTTTTTCTGTTTATGATAAAGAGACGTTTGTTAAAAAGCTGCCTATTGGTTCTCTCTGCTACACATTGTAGCTTCAGTTCTTCCTTTTCTACTCTTTTAGAAGTTTAGCACAGAAGATAAATACTGCACTGCTTCATGATTGGTCATACCAATTTTGAGAGACTCTCCAGAATAGGGATGAATATAAATGCCAGGAAAACATAAATTTGGTAGCTTTCCGGCAGTTTAAGTGGGACCAGGAGTTCTGGCGGGGGGGTATCGACTTTGTCGAAGAACGTTTTCACTTCCAAAGTAAGATGAGTAGGTTTAGCCGTCTTTCACCTCTTGTTACGTTCATGCGGAGCAGCGAAGCCAGAAATTCGGTCCCAAATATGGCGGCCACAACAGAAATCACGTGACTGAAACCCTAAGATACTTACCTCATCTGTTTTTGGCTATCAACACTTGTCTGTAGGAGGATCTACATGTAAAAGTAATAGAACAAGCATGAGAGACCATAATAAAGTAATTTCATAATTCAATTGGTCATAATTTCAGTGCAGTTACCAACTTATTCTGATGTTTTCACCTGATGTGAGATGCAGTAACTGAGAAACAAGATATGGCTCTAATAGCATTTACTTTCACTGTAATTATAGCCCATAACATCACATCGCGTGTGACCATTTAAAGACATAACACATAAGAAACACAGCAGAA